TTATTTTTTGCTCTTTTCTCAATATTTAGAGAAATTCTAGGGCCAGGCACAGTGGCTCACGCCTGTAATCCCAGGACTTTGGGAGGCTGAAGTGGGCAGATTGTTTCAGGCCAGGTGTTCAAGACCAGTCTGGCCAAGATGGCGAAACCCCATCTCTACAAAAAATACAAAAATTATCCAAGCATGGTGATACACATCTGTAATCCCACCTACTCAGGAGGCTGAGACATGAAAGTCACTTGAACCCAGGAGACGGAGGTTGCAGTGAGCCAAGATCACACCACTGCACTCCAGCCTAAGCAACAGGGGCAGACTTTGTCTCAAAAAAAAATTAAAAATTAAATAAATTCTAATTCATAATTTTCTCTAAAACTCTGTCCTTCTACATGAGAAATTAACTCTAAATTAACATTCTAGCTATTTCCCTAGAAACTTTAAATATGTCAGCTATCTTACAAAACAAGCAACATTGCTTTTGTCAAAAATGATACCTGGGGCCTGGCGCAGTGGCTCACGATTGTAATCTCAGCACTTTGGAAGGCCAAGATGTGCGAATCACCTGAGGCTGGGAATTCGAGACCAACCTGACCAACAATAGAGAAACCCTGTCTCTACTAAAAATACAAAATTAGCTGGGTGTGGCAGCACGTGCCTATAATTCCAGCTACTCAGGAGGCTGAGGAAGAATTGCTTGCGCCGGGGAGGCAGAAGTTGCAGTGAGCCGAGATCGCACCACTGCACTTCAGCCTGGGCAACAAGAGTGAAACTCTGGCTCAAAAAAATAAAAAAACAAATTACACCTGGTTGGTAACCACACCTGGAATAGGAGGGTCAGCAATGGTGGCAAGCAATTGCTTTGGGCTTTCCTGAGCATGTGACTCCTAAAAGTGAGCATGACCTTTCTAGGATCCGTAGAAGCCATGGCCATCCACAGGGCTTCTACGCCAGTCTGGATCCCCTACCTACTGATATGATCTCATCCCCTCACACCTGAATAGTCACCTCAGGTACCAGAAACTGCTTCCATTCTCTTAAGAGCATTCTACGGAAAAAAAACATACCTAATCCTATCCTGCTATACTATCCTGAGTAAACTGGTGCTGAATGTAGTCTATTTGAGCCTTGTGTGGTATAAGATGTCTGATTAAGCATAATATCCTGAGAATAGGTACTGAAGCCCCTCTACTATAAAATATACCATTTATATATTATTCACAAGACAAAAGTCTTTCTCTTACAAAACATGAATCTACTCTGCACCAGCATTCTTCCAAAATTTATATTGATATTTTCCCTTTTAAGCTTCCAAAATTCCTCAGATTTGACTGCCTCCAAATAATATGTCCCTCAAAGGATTCCAAAGTTTATTTTATCATCATCTAAAAAGAAATACAGTCCTCTTGCCTGCAGATACAACACCTAGGACAGTAACTAGTATATAGTAGGCAGGGGTGAACTACTAGGCAGTTACTCGGTTAAGAAAAACTGCTGAAGCCAACTGCCTAAGCTCAAGTCCTCAAAACAATTTATCTTAGGTTCACCAAGCAAAATAAAATCCAAAATGGCTTGAGTCTAAATAAAATGCAGAAAAATTGACAAAGATTTCACTATACCTGGCTTGTTGGAATGAATGGCCAACATGGCAGAGAATACCTTGCTAAGTTGAGTTTTGGCAGCCTGGAAAAAAGAAAAATATTTCTACTTCCAGCACAGAGAAATCATTGATCTTACTTTCTAAGTAATATGTAGCCTAACTTTACCAACTGTAAAATCCTATGGAGCATGACATGCTATTTCTAGGGACATATCAATAAACACAGACCCTCCTAATTTTCTACCTCAACTAAACCACTAAACACTTTAAATATCGTTTTAAAAAGATTCAACTGTGCCGGGCACGGTGACTCAAGCCTGTAATCCCAGCACTTTGGGAGGCCGAGGGGGGTGGATCACGAGGTCAACAGATGGAGACCATCCTGGTAAACATGGTGAAACCCCGTCTCTACTAAAAATGCAAAACATTAGCTGGGCATGGTGATACGTGCCTGTAATCCCAGCTACTCAGGAGGTTGAGGCAGGAGAATTGCCCGAACCCAGGAGGCGGAGATTGTGGTGAGCCGAGATCACGCCATTGCACTCCAGCCTGGGTAACAAGAGCGAAACTCCGTCTCAAAAAAAAAAAAAAAAAAAAGATTCAACTGAACAAATATACATAAAAATTATATTCTTTTCAATTGACTTGGAAACTATTTTTTTTTCTTTTCTTTTATTTTCTTTTTTTTTCTGTTCTCTGAAGGAATGAATTGAACCAAAAACTTGGAAACTATTTATAGTCATTCAGATATCCAATGTTATATTGACGTTCAGCCTTCTTGGGTTCTTTTCTCACATTTTAACCCTACACTTCAGGAAAAAGCATGGGGTTCAGCAATCTGGCATGAAGCTTAAATGGCAGATTAACAAAAAGACGGTAAGAGGAAGCAAGACATGGCTTTACTCACCCACTTCTTACAAAAAACCACATAGGAGAGCCAAAGTTGAACATCATCCTGCAAGAAAAGCAATGCAGTAAGCTACTTGAATTTGACCTTTATATATAATATACCTTTATATTAATTAATTTTGATAAAAACCAGATTTCTTGATGATAAAGTAGAGTACTGTGGAAAGAAGAAAAAAGGAAAAAAAAAAAAAAAGATTTCAAGCTGGGTGCAGTGGCTCACACCTGTAATCCCAGCACTTTGGGAGGCTGAAGTGGGCAGATCACCTGAGGTCAGGAGATCAAGACCAGCCTGGCCAACACAGTGAAACCCCACCTCTGCTAAAAATACAAAAATTATTGGGAGGCCAAGGTGGGTGGATCACTTGAGGTCAGGAGTTCAAAACCAGCCTGGCCAATATAGTGAAACCCTATCTCTACTAAAAATATAAAAAAATTAGCCAGGCGTGGTGGCAGACACCTGTAACTCCAGCTACTGGGAAGCTGTGACAGGACAATCACTTGAAACCAGGAGACGGAGGTTGCAATGAGCTGAGATCATGCCACTGCACTCCAGTCTGGGCAAAAGAGCAATGCTCCATCTCAAAAAAAGATAATTAGCCAGGCATGGTGGTATGTACCTATAAACCCAGCTACTAGGGAGACTGAGGCAAGAGAATCACTGAACCTCGGAGGCAAAGGTTGCAGTGAGCCACCAAGATCATGCCACTGCACTCCAGCCTGGGTGACAGAGCAAGACTCCAACTCAAAAAAAAGAAAAAAAAGCCGGGTGCAGTGGCTTGGGCCAATAATCCCAGCACTTTTGGAAGCCGAGGCAGGTGGATCACTCAAGGGAAGGAGTTTGAGACCAGCTTGGCCAACATACTGAAACCCTGCCTCTACTAAAAATACAAAAATTAGCCAGGCGTGATGGCTTGTGCCTGTAGTCCCAGCTACTGGGGAGGCTCAGGCAGGAGAATTGCTTCAACCTGGGAGGCAAAGGCTGCAGTGAGCCAAGATCATGCCACTGCACTCCAGCATGGGGGACAGAGAGAGATTCTGTCCCAAAACAAACAAACAAACAAACAAAAACCAGATTTCAGAAGATTCAGTGTGTTACCATAACCCTCAGCCTATCTGGCTCTTTCTCACAGAAGCCTTAGATCTTTTAACTATGAGAATTCAACCTTTCCCCCAACTTCTACTCACAATGCTCCAAAAAAACTGTTATCTATCCAGTTTCGTTCAACGTAGTTCTTAAAGGATCTCAATCTGGGATAGCAATATAAAATTTGTCATTCCCAAGAATCCAAAATACTTCTCATATAATATGTCCAATTCCAAAGACTCCTATAATTCCAGCACTTTGGAAGGCTGAGATAGGCAGATCACTTGAGCCCAGGAGTTGGAGACCAGCCTGAGCAGCATGGCGAAACCCTATGTCTACCAAAAATACAAAAATTAGCCAGGCATGGTGGCACACACCTGTGATCCCAGCTATTTGGGAGGCTGAGGTGAGAGAATCGATTGAGCCTGGGAGGCAGAGGTTGCAGTGAACCGATATCACTCTAGCTTGGGCAACACAGTGAGACTCCATCTCAAATAAAGAAAAGAAAAAGGGGCCGGGCGCGGTGGCTCACGCCTGTAATCCCAGCACTTTGGGAGGCCAAGGTGGGCGGATCACGAGGTCAAGAGATCGAGACCATCCTGGTCAACATGGTGAAACCCCGTCTCTACTAAAAATACAAAAAAATTAGCTGGGCACGGTGGCGCGTGCCTGTAATCCCAGCTACTCAGGAGGCTGAGGCAAGAGAATTGCCTGAACCCAGGAGGCGGAGGTTGTGGTGAGCCGAGATGGCGCCATTGCACTCCAGCCTGGGTAACAAGAGTGAAACTCCGTCTCGAAGAAAAAAAAAAAAAGAAAAAGAAAAAGAAAAAAATAAATGAAGTTTCTGGGGTATTGCCCCTACATAACCATTTATCTTATGGCTTTAAGTCTTCAGCGTACTTACTGATATATACAAGTATCTTCCAAATGTCCCACAGGTGTATCAAATACACTGTTTTCAGCACTGTCTTCACAGAATAACTATAGGGTAATAAGATCAATTTTCTTACCGGTTTGTTAAGTGGCTCAAAAAATGTTTTGAGCAATGATACAATCATTAGAATAAGTATAAAGATAGCCAAGATAAAAATAAAAAACAGCATATGAATACCTAACACAATACAATCAATACATATTTCACATCTCTTAAAGATTCCTTGATCACTTACTTTCCATTTTGCTGAGGCACGTCGGAAAACACCTTGTACCCGGTGTACAATAGAATTCTCAATCTCATCCTTCTTAAATGAATATCCAATGCGCTAAAGGGGGGATAAAAAAACAAAGCCTCAGCTGAATCACATTTGTCCAAAACAGCATTCCCACTTGACCACTTAACAGTACTGACGAAGCAAACAAATAATTACAGATATCCATTGTAGGCAGATCACCACAGAGTTTTCTCAACACTAAATGTCTCCCAAACACAAGTCCTAACTATACAGCCATACTGCTGTATAGTTCTGCTGTATAGTTCTTAGTGCACTGGATTTTTTTCCAACTTCTGCTGTATAGTTCTGCTGTATAGTTCTTAGTGCACTGGATTTTTTTCCAACTTCTAGAAAATCTTCTACTTACTGTTCTTCTTCTCTGGATCAGCTCCAAAAGATTTATTTCATACTATGAAAGAAAAACGTACAAAAAGATAAGATAGAAAAACTAAAACCTTGTAAATACAGGACACACATTTAGTTAAAATCATAAAGCAAAAATCGAGAATATAAAATAAAAAATAATATGCTATCATAAGTACAATTTACAATAAAATCTAAAATTCACTTAAAATTCACTTAGCTATAAATCTTACACAGAATCATTAAGAAGCTTATAATTATATGCTTCATTTAAAAATTATTCCATGAGGCTGGGCACAGTGGCTCACAACTGTAATCTCAGCACTTTGGGAGGCCAAGGCAGGTGGATCATGAGGTCAGAAGTTCAAGACTAGCCTGACCAACATAGTGAAACACCGTCTCTGCTAAAAATACAAAAAAATTAGCTGGACGTGGTGTCGGGCCCCTGTAATCCCAGCTACCCAGGAGGCTGAGGCAAGGAGAATCACTTGAACCTGGGAGGCAGAGGTTGCGGTGATGTGAGATCACGCCACTATACTCCAGCCCGGGTGACAGTGTGAGACTCCATCTCAAAAAAAAAAAAAATTATCCCATGAAATTGAAACAGAGTTTCGTTCTTGTTGCCCAGGCTGGAGTGCAATGGCACAATATCAGCTCACCGAAACCCCACCTGGGGGTGGTGTGTGCCACCACGCCCAGCTAATTTTATATTTTTAGTAGAGACAGGGTTTCTCCATGTTGGTCAGGCTGGTCTCGAACTCCTGACCTCATGTGATCCACCCGTCTCAGCCTCCCAAAGTTCTAGGATTACATAATCCATGAAATATTTTAAGCATACAGAATACCCCATGCAGCTACAATACAGCTACAGTACATCTAAACCTACATTGTACTACATTTGCTTCAAATCTTTTTTAGAAATAAAACAGTTCTTTTTTTTTTTTTTAAATAGAGACAGGGTTTCACCATGTTGGCCAGGATGGTCTCAATCTCTTGACCTCGTGATCTGCCCACTTCAGCCTCCCAAAGTGCTGGAATTACAGGCGTGAGCCACCGCGACCGGCCATAAAACAGTTCTTATAAGAATGAAGCTTCCTATGTATCCATCTCTGATTCTACTCTTCTTCCCCTCCAGAGGCAGCAATTACCTGGACTTTCTTATCATTCCCAAACATGACTTTGGACGTTATAATAATGTCTTGAGGCCGGGCAATGTGGCTCACACCTGTAATCCTAGCACTTTGGGAGTCCGGGGTGGGTGGATCACCTGAGGTCAGGAGTTCAAGACCAGCCGGGCCATCATGGTGAAACCCCATCTTTCTTTCTAAAAATTTAAAAAAATGATAATAATAATGTCTTGAATGCTTTTAAATTTTACATAAATGGTATCATGCTACATCCATCAATAAATATTTTTGGGTTTTTTTTCTTTTTTTTTGAGATAGAGTCTTGCTGTCGCCCAGGCTAGAGTGCAGTGGCGCAATCTCGGCTCAATGCAACCTCTACCTCATGGCTTTAAGCAATTCTCCTGCCTCAGATTCCCAAGTGGCCTGGGAAGACCCCATCTCTACAAAAATAAGAAAATTAGCCAGGCGTGCTGGCACAAGCCTGTAGTCCTAGCTACTTGGGGGTCGAGGCAGGAGGATCACCTGAGCCCAGAAGTTCGAGGCTGCAATGAGTGATGGTCATACCACTGCACTCCAGCCTGGGCAGGAGTGAGTGTTTTATCTGAAAAAATGCATATATATATTTTTTGATATAATATGGTCTTTGCTCATTTTGAGTGAGCAATCTATTCATAGAACTTCTTCCAAAAACAGTATCTTAGCCAAGGTTCACATATTGTTTGTTCAGCTGTCTTTTTAAATCTAAGCTCAAAATTTCTAGTCTTTTTTTACTTTTTTTTTTTGAGACGGAGTTTTGTTCTTGTTGCCTAGGCTGGAGTACAATGGCACGACCTTGGCTCACTGTAACCTCCACCTCCCAGGTTCCAGGGACTCTCCTGCCTCAGCCTCCTCAGTAGCTGGGATGACAGGTACCCACCATCACACCTGGCTAATTTTTGTATTTTTAGTAGAGACAGGGTTTCCCCATGTTGGCTAGGCTTGTCTCAAACTCCTGACTTCAGGTGATCTGCCCACCTCAGTCTCCCAAAATGCTGGGATTACAGGCATGAGCCACCACACCCAGCCAAAACTTCTAGTCTTACAGACATTTCATCTTGTTATTGGTTCTTTTTGAATCCTGATTCCATCATCCAATATATTAGCTATTTTCCCCCATCAGAAAATTGGTCTGCCAAGTTTTATCTTTATTCAAACCATCCATGCATTTACAAGATGAAAAACTCTTGCAGCACACCTCTTTGCAAGTAGATAGACAACAGATAAACAAGCAGTAGCTTTTCAATAATCTCTTTTTTTTTTTTTTTTTTTTGAGATGGAGTTTCACTCTTGTTACCCAGGCTGGAGTGCAATGGCGCGATCTCGGCTCACCGCAACCTCTGCCTCCTGGGTTCAGGCAATTCTCCTGCCTCAACCTCCTCAGTAGCTGGGATTACAGGCACGCGCCACCATGCCCAGCTAATGTTTTGTATTTTTTAGTAGAGACGGGGTTTTACCATATTGACCAGGATGGTCTCCATCTCCTGACCTCCTGATCCACCCGCCTCGGCCTCCCAAAGTGCTGGGATTACAGGCTTGAGCCACCGCGCCGGCCTCAATTATCTCTTATCATCAAATTCACTCTCCTTTATCTTGTTCACCAAGAGGCAAATCTCTTGCTGATGTCCTGACAATTTGTCTCTGACAATCTCTGATCTACTAACCCAGTAGGAAAAAAAAAAGAAAACAAAAAGAAAGAAGGGCCGGGCGCAGTGGCTCACGCCTGTAATCTCAGCATTTTGGGAGGCTGAGGCAGGTGGATCACCTGAGGTCGGGAGTCCCAGATCAGCCTGGCCAACATGGTGAAACTCTGTCTCTATTAAAAAAAAAAAAAGAAAAAAGAAAGAGGAGGGAGAAAGTAAGTTCAGTTTGGCAAGAACTAAAGTCTCAGTGGAGTAATTCTACTCCCAATGATCATCTGTACTCCCGTTCAGAAATATCTATCTAATAAACACTTCCAGAATTTTGAAAAAAAATTGATGTTAAGCTCATCATTCTAAAACTGATTTTAAATTTGTGAAGGGATGGGAGGCTGAGGCAGGAGAATCACTTGAATCTGGGAGGTGGAGGTTGCAGTGAGCAGAGACTACACCGCTGTACTCCAGCCTGAGTGACACAGAGAGACTCCATCTCAATCACTCCATCAGTTTGTGAAAATATTAAAAAGTAAGGCTGAGGCCAGACATGATGGCTCACACCTGTAATCATAGCACTCACTTTGGAGGTCGATGAAGGTGGATTGCCTGAGGCCAGGAGTTGGAGACCAGCCTGGCCAACATGGCAAAACCCAGTCTCTACTAAAATTAGCTGGGCTAGGTGGTACACGCCTGTAATCCCAGCTACTGGGTAGGCTGAGACTTGAGAATCACTAGAACCTGGGAGGCGGAGATTGCAGTGAGCCAGATCGTGCCACTGCACTTCATCCCAGGTGACAGAGCAAGAAAAAAAACAGCTAAGGCTGTGCCCAGCGGCTCACAAACACTTGTAATCCCAGCATTTTGGGCGTGGGCAACATGGTGAAACCCTGTCTCTACAAAAGAACACAAAAACTAGCCAGCCATGGTGGCAAACATCTGTAGTCCCAGTTACTCGGGAGGCTGAGGAAGAACGATCACATCAGCCCAGGAGGTGGAAGCTACAGTGAGCCATGATGGCCCCACTGCACTTCAGTCTGGGTGAAAGGTGAGACACTGTCTCAAAACAAAGTAATGAAATTATTAATTATTGGCCAGGCATTGTGGTTCACACCTATAAGCCCAGCACTTTCAGAGGCCAAGGTGGGTGGATCCCTTGAGCTCAGGAGTTCGAGACCAGCCTGGGCAACATGGCAAAACCCAGTCTGTAACAAAAAGTACAAAAAATTAGCCATGCATGGTGACATGCACCTGTAGTCCCAGCTACCCAGGAAGGCAGAGGTGGCAGTGAGCAGAGAATGTAGAGATCACACCACTCACACCACTGCACTCCAACCTGGGTGACATGAGTGAGACCCCCATCTTACCAAAAAAAAAAAAAATTATTAATTACACACTTACTTGAACATAATTGATAAAGTCTTCCTTGAAAAGGGTTCTTCGCTGGATTCTGTACTCTAGATCGGAAGCCTTCTTAATGATAGCCCTGAGGAGAAAGCCATTTAAGCTTCACTTGAAAACAGTAAAACTTAAATCAGTTTGAGTTTATTTTTAATATATTTACAACATACTATTCAAAACACAAAATTTCTAGAGTTATGTTTCATAAGAAAGTATTCTTTTACACCATTACTTTTGTGTTCTTAACGGTATCTGGATTTTTTTTTTTTTTTTGAAACGGAGTCTTGCTCTGTTGCCTGGCTGGAGTGAAGTGGCAGGATCTTGGCTCACTGTAACCTCCGCCGCACAGGTTCAAGCAATTCTCCTGCCTCAGCGTTCTGAGTAGCTGGGACTACATGCCCACACCCCACACCCGGCTAATTTTTTTGTATTTAGTAAAGATGGGGTTTCACCATGTTGACCAGGATGGTCTTGATCTCCTGACATCATGATCCTTCCTTCTCAAACTGCTGGGATTACAGGCATGAGCCACCTCGCCCGGCCCAGTATCAGGATGCATTTTTAAACTTTCAGGAAAATCATCTTAATCAACTCCCAAAACCAGTGACATTCCCACCAGCAAGCCAAATACAATTAAGAACTTAGTACTATTTATTTACGTATGGTATTAATAAAGACTTCTTTTACTCCAAGTTCAGGTCACTTAGGTTTTAATAACAAATCTCTCAATTCTAAAAGAAAAAAAAATCTATTTCCTAAATTCTCCTTTTCTGAGTTCTCAACATGTAAAAATTTTTTTAATAATCTGAATTATCTCTGCCTTAAAAGGCTTATTACTACAAAGGACTTAGGGAGAAGATTCCGCATCCTCAGCTAAGGAGTGAACACATGACATGGGTATATTAGGAGATTTTAATGCAAGATGTGCAAAAGTGTCTTTAGTAACAATAACATTTACTGAGTGCTTTCTAAGGGTCCACACTGCTATGTTCTGCTTCATTAACGAATGCTTACGTTGAGGCTCTGAGTCACATTACTAGATTCACAGATGGTGCAAAACAAAGCAACAGTCACAGAAGGCCATTTAAAAACTATTTAACATAATTTTACCAGGCTACTGAATGCCTACTCTGTGCCAGGCGCTGTGGTTAGGCTCTGGGGTAGCATATGAAACTAACTTCAAGGGTCCTCACCTTCAACTGTAGTTAGGAAAATTTATCCACTCCCCCTGGCTCCCACAGCACTTTATTCCCATCCCTAGAGTAGTACACGCTACTCCAGTCAACTTACAGTACACTGTCATCAAAATATTTGTCTCCCTCACCACACACTGCCCAATTAGCTCCTAATGAGCAGGAATCCTGTGTTTATCACCTTTACAGCCCCAAGACCCGGCTCCATGAAGGGCTGTCAGTATGTCTGATGGGTAAGTAGACGGACGTATAGCCTTGCGACGGATGAGAAATTAATTCTGGACATCATCGAAACCAGGAAATGGGCTTCCACCACGTTAGGAAAAATAAACACAGGTCGAGCGTCCCCACACCTGGCCCCTGCCACACACTCCCAACCTCCCCTCAGCCCGCCTCGCCTCAGCTCTTCCCCTCTCCCCAGCCCTTTCTCACTTAATCTCCGCATGACTGAACAGTCCAATGCGCTCCAGCTGTTCCAATTCCGGGAGCCGATCTTCTATGCGTTCCTGAATTATCTCTGCCATGAGGTCCGAACTCTACAACCCGGTGGAGAGATTCTCGACAGCGAACACCCGCAGGAAGCGCCCAGTCCGGAGATGCAGCCGTACCCTGCGCGCCCGACGTAATGTGCTCCCTAGGTCCCGCCTTTTCCGCTTCCGCCGCCTCCGCCGCGGGGGAAGGCCCTTTGGCTTCTACAGCGCAGTTCCCTCCCTGTGGCCGATTGCGGGATTGCAACGAAAACCCCTCCTGGTCTTGGGCTGGTCGAGACTTAAGCGTACTGAATTTAAGAGCCGGGGCTAGACGCGGGGCGGGGCTACGTGCGCTCTGGCCGCTAGAATTGGACCGCTAACAGGAAAAGCGGCTCCGGGTATGGTGAGACGGGCTACCTGGGCCTGAAAGGGGCTGAGATGCATTTTCTGCAGAATATTGTCTACTTTCATTGTGCTTCCAATCCCACGTCCTCACTTCCCAACACCAAGAACAAAAAAAAAAAAAGCGAAGAAGGAGGATACTGTACAATTAAACAATTTTGAAGGCCAGGCGCGGTGGCTCACGCTTGTAATCCCAGCACTTTGGGAAACCGAGGCTGACAGATCGCCTAAGGTCGGGAGTTCGAGACCAGCCTAGCTAAAAAGCGAAACCGTCTCTACTAAAATTACAAAAATTACCTGGGCGTGGTAGCACGCGCCTGTAGTCCCTGCTACTCAGGAGGCTGAGCCAGGAGAATCACTTGAACACGTGAGGTGGAAGTTGCAGTGAGCTCAGATGGCGCCACTGCACTCCAGCCGAGGCGACAGAGCGAGACAGCGTCTCAAAAAAAAAAAAATTGTGTTTTGAAAGTCAGTCAAGAAACTCATAGAGGGCCCAGGCACAGTGGATAACACCTGTAATCCTAGCACTTTTGAGAGGACAAGGCAGGTGGAGTACCTAAGGTCAGGAGTTCGAGAACAGCCTGACCAACATGGTGAAACCCTCCCTCTACTAAAAATAAAAAAATTAGCGGGGCATAGTGGTGTGTTCCTGTAGTCCCAACTACTTGGGAGGCTGAGGCAGGAGAATCACTTAAACCCAGAAGGCAGAGGCAGCAGTGAACAAAAATGCGCCACTGCTCTCCAGCCTGGGCAACAAGAGCACAACTCTGTCTCAAAAACAAAGATAGGCCGGGCGCGGTGGCTCAAGCCTGTAATCCCAGCACTTTGGGAGGCCGAGGCGGGTGGATCACGAGGTCAAGAGATCAAGACCATCCTGGTCAACATGGTGAAACCCCGTCTCTACTAAAACTACAAAAAATTAGCTGGGCATGGTGGCGCGTGCCTGTAATCCCAGCTACTCAGGAGGCTGAGGCAGGAGAATTGCCTGAACCCAGGAGGCGGAGGTTGCGGTGAGCCGAGATCGCGCCATTGCACTCCA